GGGGGGGGTAGCGATCGTGGGGGTGATGCGTGTGGAAGACGGGTCCGGAGACTCTATCATCCAGCAACGACACAAAAAGAGCCAGACAGGCAGAGGAGGGAGCTCTGTGCTGCACTGGCAGGAAAAGTCGAAAGTCGGCTATAATTCGGGGGTGAAATGCATCTAACAGGCGAGCGTGGCGACGGCGGCTGGCGATGCAATCCTCTCCCGATTCACCGGAGAGCGAGGGGCGGGTGACGACGGCCAAGTCTTGTCGAGCGAGAGACGGGCGATCAGACAAAGATGGCGGCTTCGACGCCGAGCAGTGGCGGCCAGAGGCGATTGCTAAGGGCGGAGGCTTTGATGACTACGCCGCGGAGAGAGCAGCTCGAGGCGGGGCGGAGCTCGAAATTTGTGGGCGTCTTGGCGTTCTGGTTCCTTCCGGTTCCTCTCTTTTTTTTTTCTTGATCTTTCGGATCTTCCAAACTTGTCACAAATCACCCAGACGACAGAGACACAGGAAACAATAAAGGAAATAAGCGAATGACAGGAGTCGACGAGGACTTCCTAGGGGGTTCTGATAGCGAACGTGGGAGGTTGAGTGTTGCAGCGGCGGCGCTGTTTTTGGCTTGCGATGGTATACTGGACTGATCGAGGGAGGGGGAAGGGCGCCAGCAGGTTGAGGGCGGGACGCTCAAGAGTTAAATACTGGGCCACAGTCAACCAGGCCACAGCGAGTAGCGACTGGAGCTGGGCCACGGTGCGGGCGGGCTGGGCTGCCCCAGGTGGCGTACAGTGGCCAGAGGGCTGGCGAGGCACGGTCGCGGGCTGGGATCAGTCAATGGACGGAGGGTGGGGTGGGACGCACCACCAGCGACCTCCTGAAAACACGGCCACAAGACGTTGCGCGCAGGACCGCCCAAACAGGAAGGGTCGGCCAAAACCCCCTCCCCATTCCCCACTGGCACCGGCCAAGCAGGGGTGAGGCCGAGCATCCGTGCGTCCTGCACGCCCCCCTGCGACCTTCAATTGATGATGGACATGGATGGACATGGATGGGACAACAAGTGGGCCCAGGCACAAGCGGCAGGCGGGTCAGAGTGTCTTGTCCGTGGCTGGCAGGGGAATCGCGGGCAGCCGCGAGCGTTGAGCATCTGCCGGGGCTCTCCATCCGTCCGTCCTGGATTCAAACCCAAGCAACATGCCTCGGAGACATGCCTCGAAGATGCAAATGAGCCCCCCTGAAGCTTGCTTGTTGATGCGAAACCTTGAGCCCAGGGAGCCTGTCTCTCCTGGCTGCTGGCTGCTGGGGGCGGCGACGACAGTGCCTGGGATTGTCGGGGTGATGCGTCCCCAACGCACAAAGCCGTGCTGCAAAAAACAAGAGCTCTGCATCCCTCACATGCGATGGGTTGCGGGCGCCGGCAGCAGCCAGTCCATTGATGGTACACCTCATGTACATGGATAGTCGATACCACCACCAGCTACCACCACGTAACCAGCACAGTGACAGGGCCCCTCCCCGCACGGGCCGGACAGGATACGTGGTACCTGATTCGGCTAGCGCGCTGGCATGCCCAGCGGGACTGGCGTCTAGGCCTAATTGGGAAAGGTGGAGTGCCCTTGGGATAAAAATAAGAAGCACATCAGAGGTCGAGAGGTTGAGGGCAAGGGCGAGGGCAAGGGCACGCGCGCACAATGGGGCGCTGGATTTGTTGCAACAGGTGCCGGTTTCCTGGGTCACCCTCACAACCCTCACCTGCAACACGCCAACGTCACCGCTCTCTGCCTCGAAAAAGTCTCCCTCCAAAAGGACCTTTCCACATCCCCACATTCCCACACTTTCCCACCACAGTGCGACTAGCCACTGTCCCTGCCCAGCCCGCTTTCACTACTTTGGGCGGGTGCTACGTGGTAGTCCCCAGTGGTAGTCCCCAGTGGTAGTCCCAAGCCCCAGCAGTCCCAAGCCGCAGCCCAGCGCAGGGGGGAGAATGGAAAGACGGGCATTTTCGACATGATGCACCAGTTTGCATTTGGCAGGGGTCAGATGATGCCGAGATGCTTTGTAGATCCCCTCCATGTCATGGAACGAGGGTTTTGTGGTTTTGTTTTGCCCGGATATCTCAACCGATATTTGCCCGTACCTTTCCTCTCAACTGATATTTGCCCAGCAAACCGGGCGCCACTTGCGATGCATGCGTCCCGCCATGTCCTCCGCACGGGAGGCTTTCGTCTGGTAGGTACAGGACTAGCACTCGAGCAGCCGACTCCCCCTCCCCACATGGCCCTCGTGCAAAGCTTGCGGCGACATCGCCAACCCTCAGCCACCGCCGAGCAAGCGTCGACTCTGAGAGCTGGGCCGTGCCACCACCGCCAGAGACCACCGCCAGAGACCACCGCCAGAGAGGGTCGTCGCGATGCCACTTCACCCCTAGCCCGGCTGCAAGCGTCCGCATGGCGTGTCCAAATCGAGTAGCCGAGGGATTCACAACTTGGCAGCATGGATCAGGGCTATAAGATGCGCCCGCCTGCATTGCCAACCATTCACAGTCCCCGCCCGCACGTCCAGTTGCGAGGTTTGGACCTTCAAGGCGCCAAGGCACCATCGCCATAGGCACCATCGCCATCATCACCGTCGGGCTCAGCTACAGTGGTGAGCTGGCTTCGCCCAAGGCTCCGTAGTCCCTTCACCCAACCCAGCCCTTTCTCGGCTACCGATCAGCCGGTCCACTTGTTTATACCCCGTCGGCAGCAGACGAATGATGTTCGTGTTCTAGGAATAGCAACTCGGCCACCTACCTTTTGACAACCCGGTTATCGACCAGCCAGCCAGTCGGTTCCTGGAAAGCCCGGCTGCAGATCAGGTACACGTAGCTAAAAAGTCATGTAACCATGGGAGAGGTGGGACCCGAGGGGGGGAGGGGCCCATGTTGGAAGACACCCCCTCGACCGACCACCTGCAGCGAACCGTAGCGAGCCGCCTTCTTCAGATCATCGGGGGACCCAATGACGCCGCCGCCTTGGCACCGAAAAATAAGGACGAGGAAAATAAGGGCCCGCCGGGGCTCTGCTGTGGAAGGTGGGAGGGAAGTCGCCGGCAGGGCTGGCCTTTCCAGCTTCGGGACTAGACGAGGAGGCTTGCTGACGGGGGATGCATAAAGAGGCCGAGCACAAAAAGTACGACCGAGAGAGGCGGTGCAAAATCCAACGATTAGATGCAGCATGGCAGCTAGCCAACCAACCTCGACCGCACCTAGTGCTGGTGCTGACTCCATCCGTCGAGGACAGGACCGAGTCCCTTGCTTGACCAATATCTGCCCGCCGGTATAGCTCGCTCTCCATTACAGCCACGAGATTCGCAGCGCAACGGTGCTCCGATTGATGTCACCTATCGTTTGCTGGTGGCCTTACTGTGCACGGTCCCTGAGGGACCAGGGCTCGGGGGATAGGACGAATGCGGAAATGCCTGGTTACCGTTGTAGTAATGCATTGCTCAACTTAAACTCCCGGTCCAGCAGAACCATCCACGGCCTTTTCCGCGCAGGAAAAAACATTTCCCACAAGGGTCAAAAACAGGAACCTGGTGACATGTGATTCGACCCAAAGCCAGCCGGGTTGGCATGGGCGGGGAAGTAGGAAAGGGCCCGCGAGACGCTGGCCCTTGGACACATCTCATAATTGCAATGCTGCGCCTTTCCAGCCTTTAGCAAAATGCAAAGCTGGGACCTCCCGTCTAAACCCCAGCCGCTTCACAGTGCATGCATGTCCTATCCCGCCGCTCGCCACCATGTAAGCGATTACACAGAACACACGCCCCAAGAAAGAAGAAGAAGAAAAAAAAAAAGGGCGTGCACGGATGGGTCTCTCGAGAACGTCATCGCCGAATTGACTTGGCGGGCATTTCTTATTGAACTATGCTCAAGTGGTAGAGCGGACCAAAAAAAGACCACTTGTATTACGCAATGCCAAGACGTTGACGGAAGAATGGGAGAAAAAAAAAAAGGCCCGCCGGAGGTTTAGAGGTGAGGCAACAATAAACGACGGCCGTGGCTGGCAAGGAGGGGCCCGGGAGGGAGGCTAGAAACAAGATCTAAACTGCCTAGGGGTAGCTTTGGGTAGCTTTGACATGCGCTTGGGTCGGGGATTGACGGCCAACAGAGGAGGAAACGTAACAGGAGAAGTGAGGGAGAAGGAGAAGAGATCTACGGGCCAGGTAAAAGGGTTTTCCAAAGCGTTTGTCAAAGTGCATGTTTCTATTTGGCCGCCATGCGGGGCTGCTCGACTTTTACAGGAAAGTAGGATATTAAATGTTACCGCTGTGGGTTTGGTTAGTAGGGGTACGAGCAAGGGAAGTGCGGGTAGTGATACATCGATTTGGCGGGTTTTTCTGTAGGAAAAAATGTAGTTGGGACGAGGCCTAATTGGGAAGGATCTGCGGGTCGTAATGTTTAATATCCTACTTTACCGTATGTATTGGCTTGCCCCTTGGCCGAGTGGCTGTTTAGTATTCTTTTTTTTTTTTTTTTTTTTTTGGTTTGTTCTCTCGTGATGTCCATCCCATTGGGTTACAGAATGACATCGAGCCCCGTCACTTTATCGGCCCGTCAGTCAGTCAGTCACTTCGAGAGCGGCTAGTCATCGCTGGCGTGCCATGTGGCGCCCGGGGGTGGCCATGATGTGTCGGCCGAACAACATATTTATATTTGGGCGAAAAAAAGCAACGAAAAAAATCTAATAAACAAACGAATCAAAAAAAAAAAAAAGCGCCACCCCAAAGCCCGACAGCTCCGCCGTGCAGCGCATTTGCCGGCGAAAAGTCTGCGTGCTCCTGGAGGATCCTCCATCTGTGCGCCGCCGAATATTGGATGGGAGAGGCGGCAGATCTAATCCCCATCACATCCTCCCAAGAGGCGGCGGGAACGCATCTGCCGCGGGCGGAATATTTGGTCGCACAGCATCTGGAAAAAAAAAACCGATTACCATCCCCCAGCCCAGCCCAGTCCGGACATATTCGTCACCCCGGGACTCCGGCCAGGTGACCCCTCCCCTTGCATCCAGTCAGTCGCCGTGGTCAAACAGGGTGCCTAGCAAAGAACGTGACATGCCGGCCGGCATCGGCGCATCCCTCTCACACTGATATTCTCACACTGATATCTCTCACCCTCCGACGGACGACGCCTCATGGCCTCATGTGACCCTGACCGTTTCCTGTTCGTCTCTCGTGCCTCCAACGATTGCGTGCTTTTTATATATTATTTTATTTATTTTTCACAGTACCTAGCGTTACCTACCCCAAGCCCCCCAAAATATACTGCCAGCCCTAGGGCTAGTGGAAGCGGATGTACAAGCCGGTGGGCAGTAGTGATGGGCCAAGAACAAAACGCATGCCGCCAGCCACAAGATCAAAGAGTCTGTTGTTTTAGGCGAGGCTTGATGTTTAGACAAGTGCCTCGGTAAGAACTCTGCCGTCTTGCTTGTCAACCACCGCCCACCAGACTGTTCTGTTTTTTTTTTTTCTCCCTCACACCCAGGCGCCCACTTCCGATGGAACGAGGCCTGGCGCACACTGTGGGGAGATCGACCGGGAGAGCATCCACCCACCTCGAGTGCTTGGCCTTCCCCCACGGAAAAATGGGAGTGAGACATTCCCGGTGGGGGAGGAGGAGCAGAGAGGAGGCGTTAGGGAATCTGATCTCGGTGACGTCTTTTTTTGCGAGATGTTAGATATGCCCTCTCGAATATTTGACTGTGGATGTCGCTGCAAGGACAGGGGAACAGGCTCGGTGAAATGTGTAAAGGCGCGGTCCAGCATGAATTCTATGCGGCTCGACCGAACCCCC